GGCTGTTGTTGGTATAGTGTTCCAAATGAAATTGTTCATGCAAATAAAACATCTGAATAGTTTGTGCTGTGAGTTGTTTAGGCTGCAAGCAACATGGAAAGCAAGAAAGTGTTTTACTGGAAAAGATGGAATGTGATAAGGGTTAAATAAAGCATTTAATGCCAATTTCTGCTACACAAATGTTGGATACTGAGTGCTGGTAAGAATTATAAGGCAAAGCAGTAAAAATAATAATGAAAACACCAGCAAATACTTTTTTTTTCTTTTTTCTGGCCATAAATTGATCTTTGTCTGAGGTTTTAGTCATGATGATATCCAATGTATATTATGACATAATGGATACTGAAGTTTTTCTCTATAAGCAGTTGATTTTTCAATGAGCAATCCCATAATAGTGTGATAAAATTATATAAAACACAAGCAGTGCTGCTTATTCTTGCTGGAGAAATAAATACTAGAGCAGCTACCAGTCTTCAGAATGGCTGACTTGCAATTTGAAACCTAAACAAGATTGAGAAGGGGTTCTCATATGTACATCTTCTATGTCACCTTAAAATGCACTGCTAACCTTGCTCAGTAGTGATGAAACGAAGAGCTTCATGAGAGTTCAGGAAGTGTGGATTTCGATGCTGTCCTGAAGATGATAAAAGCTTCCACAGAGTTTTTAAAAGGTTCATCATAACCTTGAGCCCTAAGTATCTAATTAATTTTAGGTAATGTTTTAGCAGTGAGATGATGCTTTCTAGTGAAATTGAAAAGAATTTCTGAGTTTAATATGATTCCCGTGGCCCATATTGTACATTAGAGCAAATCTGAGGACAAAGAAAAATAAAAATCCATACAAATCTACTCTTTGGTGAGAGAGAAAGGGAGTCCTGTGGTTAAGGAACAAAAGGCCTAAGTGAAAATCTTGCAGCTTTACAAGAAAGTGCACTTACCCCCATAAGCACTATTCCTGACTGGGTTTATGTGTGATATCTCAATCCTAAGCCTGTCACAGTTCTGAAAATGCAAAATGCCCAAAAAGGGTAAACCTGGGGAGATTTATTCAGCGGAATAAAGGCACTGACCTGCCATTACCGCAGGCCTTTAACTACATTTTTTAATAAGGTTAGTGTTTTCTTGAGTATTTCATCTCTTCTTTTTACCATCATGTTTTTTGTACTTTACACAGCTCTGTGGTGCTGGCTGGGAGTTTTCTATGAAATCAGCTTCATAAACACACTTGGTGTCCTTTTCCAAACAATATTAATTCTACTTCTCCTTGAAAACACTTCAAACAAAAATATAGTCCAAATTTATTAGCAGTTAGCAATGCCCATTATTCTGGCAGATGTTATGCTCTTCCCCTCTCAGTTAACTTTGTGCTGGGATAATGGTGTGAAGTAGTGTTTCTTTCTTTTTGTTACTGTAAAATATATTTTTTCCCATGTTTTGGCTTATCTTGCTAAGTTCCCATCCTATGTGGGATTCTGCTGCAGGCGATGATCAGCATTTTTTTAGCTCATCATCAGATCAGCAAGTAATTAATTTATATTTTCTTCTGAACTGTCCCTCATGATCTCTTCCTCTTATAATTTTTATTTGTCTTTTGAAAAATAAAAGCTCTACCTTGATAACAGATAGTAGCTTTCTCACAAGGCTCTTTAAATTTTACTGAAGGATAGTAAAATTTCTAGTCACTCAGTTTCATATAATTCTGCAGTCCTCTTTTGTTTCAGTTTGTTACTAAACTATCCACTCTGCAGGGGAATAGGAAGTGGACAGTTTTAATTTAATTTCAAGTTGAATGTCAGTACCTGCATGAACTCCACTTGTTCATTCAACCTTGAATGTTCAAGTTCTTCTGTCGAGACCTAATGTTAAAAACCAGTGTTTGCATATGGTGTGGGGTTTAAAACTTCCTTTTCTGGAAACAAAGCAAAAGTTTAACCAGATTCATCAAATATATTTCTGTTCTATTTAACAAATACCAAACTAAAGCTGTACTGTTGATTTAAATATCAAAGTGGCAACTCAAAGTAAATCTTCAGGTGGAATATCTTTGATGCCTTCATGGTGGTCATCCTTCAGAGGTGTGTAGAATGACATAATTGTATAACTCATCAGAACTTCACCCTCCAAAGTCACCTGTATTTTTAACACTGTGCAAAAATCTCTTCCTGGTTGGCCTCCTCTGTGAGAAACTACTGGCTCTTAGAATGCATAATTTATATTGGAACTCAGAGATTTCAAATAAGAACTACTGTTGGTTTTCCTACAAGAACTAGAAGTCAGTTGCTGCTGTTGCAGCTCAAAAAGTAATTTATAATTCTGCTGTGTTTGTTCTCATCTAGGTTCCAGCAGTCAGTTTAAGTGTAGGGCTGAAAAACTTTCATGCAAAGATCTGATACTCAGCAGCATTTGATCCTGCTGTTCATTGCAAACTGATTTTAAGATCTAACCATGGGTAAATTTCTTTGCACATACATCAGTGTGCCAGTGTGTTTCATAGGAAGTAGGTTTAATTAGTCATTAATTCCATAGAATTAAGCTGCTTGTTAATATCCCTAACTGCAGGAATTCTGAGAAGGTCTTCCATGAGCAAATTAGAAGATTGCTGAAGTGTTTGATTACTAGAGTTGTGTAAAAGAGCGTTATGGTGTTTTTTTCCTTTTTTTTTGAAACCTGGAGTGAGCAATTTTCCTGAATTCTCATTAACATCACCTTTTCTGTGAGCATGGAAATAGATCTGAAAGAAATCTGTACTGTAATTTGGGGAGGTATTTAAGCTTGTGCATAATTGCAAGCATATGAATAGTCCATTAACTTCAGTTGGATTCTACTGCGTGCGTCACTGACTGTCTAAAAACTTCTGATATGTCTGTGGGAGATAATAAACGTCCTTCTCATCGTGTTTGTTACGAAGATAAAAGTTCTGTACTATTAGCCTGAAATATCTGCTGAATCTCTCCCTGGTACATGCTTTGTTGAAAGTTTGAACTTTTTCTGTTAAATCCATTCTTTCATGTTGATCGAACTTCTTTTTGAGAGGAAGTTGAGGAAAAACTCAATTTATGCTTGCTTCCAACATATCAGTAACAGAGTTATAATGGTGTTTTGAGTAAAGCAACTTTATGATCATAGAGCTCTTTTTCAGCCTGATCCACTGTATGATTCCATGATCTTTCCAAACTTGGCAGGCTAACTTAGGCATTTATTACAGCTCTGAAGGGCACTATTTTACAATAGGTTGTCTTTGAAAGGAACACAGAGTTATACTAAACTGCATTCTTGGAGCATTTTTGCTGTCATAAAGAGCGTGGTTGAGTATGTGGTATCCTTGGTGCACAGAAAGCACACAAAATAGTAAGAAAAGGCTGATCACCTCAAAAATTAGACCTTATTAAGTGCATTGTTGAAATATTTTGGCTTGCTTTTTTTTCAATGCCCAAAATAAAGGGAACGTATAAAAAACATTCAGGAAAGACTTGATTCCGTCTTACAGTTAGTCTCCTTAGCCACAACCACAAGAAGGTTAAGAAGCAATGTAAATCGTCTGATATTTGCCTGCATGAGGGAGATTTCTGATTGACAGCTCTTTAATAGAAAAAGTTTTGATGAGCTCAACTGTTTGAGATGGAAATTGGACAAATTCAGATAACAAATAAGTCACACTTGTTAAATAGGACAATTAATCATTGAAACAATGTACTGAGGATGTGAAACATTCTGTCTTTGTATAAAGATACCATAAAGGAGATTCTCATAGATAAAGTAGAAGATAAGTACTTGGTGAAAAAATTGTGTGATACCATTTTACCTAGTTCATTATGCAGGAGGCTGAAGTACTTGAATGTGATGGTCTCCAGAAGAGCTCATGTCATTTGAGATTTATCTTTATGGGAATAAAGCATGTTACTAGGTGGCAGCAATAAATTTGCTACAACTAATGTGGATTTGCTGGGCAATTTACATACTGTGATTAGCACTGCTTTGCAAGGTAACAGGTGCTTTGAGGGGTTAGTATTGATTAGGCAGTGCTCACATCTAGACTTCTCAAGAGAGATTTGAAAGGGGAAGGGGATAAAACCAAGCTCAGAAGACTCAAGGCTGGCGTAGCCCTATATGATGGAGAGTGTTGCCATCTGGATCAGTTCTGAAAAACCACCATGGAATTAGCTGGAAGTCAGAGAAAGGCCCTTTCATTAATGTTCTTGGCTTTGCCAAGATGGAAATAGGGAAGTGTGGATGTTGCTGCATTCTTAATTGTAGTGCATTGAGCTTTTAATTCGTACATGAAATGTGTTACTGGAGCTATGATTAAACCATGTTGCTATCAAAAGAAAAACAATGTGAGGGGTAGCAGCATCTCCAACTCCTTGTGTTCGGTGGATACAATCAAAGTTAATGAACTTCATACTCACCACATAAAGGTCAGTTTTGAGAGAGTTGATTTGCTCACCCCTTCCTCTGATTCTTTATTCTTCACTTAACTGCCTTACAGTTTCTAAAAGACGGTGTTGCCTGAAAATAGGTGTAGAGTAAGGAAGGGTTACATCTTTTCAGAAATTGTTAGGGTCCTCCAGACTCTTCAGATTTGCATTTACTATGCAAAGCTGTGTGTTTTATCTCAAGTGGCATTTCATTTTTAGTAAATGTTGAGTATTTCCTCTTTTTTCTTGTACCACTTCAGTTCTGCTTAAACTTGTATGTCCAATTACTTCCCTTGACTTTCTGGCCTTGAGCTTTGGGATTACTAGTTGGGACAATGAGGTGTAGGGGCCTGTTTCTACCTTATTTAAACACCAATTTTCATGAAAGGATTTAAAATAGGTGTTTCACAGCCCTGTAAATTCACAGCCCTGTAAATTTCCAGCAATCTGCTGTAACTTAGAAATAAAAGATTCTCTACTAAACTTCCTTTGCTGAAATCGCTTTGTCTGCTGCTGTATACACACATAGCACAGTGCAAGTTTTAACTGTTGGACTAATTTTAGCCATTTCTGCCCCCATTCCAGGTGCAAGACAAGTTTCGTTTGGACCTGTCTGATGAGGAAGCTGTCCATTACATGCAGAGTCTAATTGATGAAAGTGTTCATGCCCTCTTCGCGGCTGTGGTGGAACAGATACACAAGTTTGCACAGGTGAGAGATACCTTCTGCTCAGTTGCTGGTCTGTGTGAAAGCTGAACAAGGTGAGAGGTTGCGAGGGGTTGAGTTTAAGACATAACTTCACTGTCTGTGATGTTTTAGTTCATTTTCCTGCAGAATAAAACTCTGTTTTAACTGCCAGGACTGGAGAACAAACTTCATAGTGATCCTAGAAAAAGTTGGGAAGCACCTTAGCAAATATGTAGGTTCTGTCACCTGGGTTAGAGTAGTTCCTGGTATCAATCCTGGCTGGAGAATGAGGAGAATTAGAGATGCTGAGAAGAACTTAGGTTGCTGGTGAAGGAGAGACTGGATATGACCCAGCCATGAGCACTCACAGCCCAGAAAGCAGAATGTGTCCTGGGATCATTCCCAGCAGTGAGGGCAGCCTGGCAAGGGGGATGATTCTGCCATTCTGTGCTGCTCTGGTGAGACCCCACCGGCAGTGCCACCTCCAGCTCTGTGCTGTCTTACTGCCAGCAACTGTAAGACAATAAAATACTTGATTCTCATGCTAACAAATCCATGTTCACAAAGGCATTTCTGCTTCGAATTTCCAGTGGTTTCGTTTTTCCCTAAAACCATCTGACATTTGGTTTGTGTTTGTCCAGGTTTTAAGATATTACACTGTTTGCCTGAAGTATTAGACTCATGACAAGAAATGGAAATAAGAGGAAAAATGAAACTGCTCTGAAAAGCCAGTCATTATCCCAGTTGTTTTTATTGATTCTTTCTTCAAAATGCTCATCAAATTCTGATACAAACTGAACAGAACGGTTTTTATGGCTATCCATTTTGCTAAAGATCTTCTGTTGTTGTCTTCAAACTTAGTTTTTATTTTGAAGAATTGCACTATATAGTGCAGAATAAGAAGAAAAATGTCATTTACATCTATATATATATTGAATAAAGGTGATCTTTTATGTGATATGAGAAAAGGAGGTGTAATTATATGAAAATGATGTGAAATTTGTTGTCATTCACTGTGGATCACTTTGGTCTTTGTAATTTCATGACGCAAAGTGAGAAATGCCTGGCATCTGTCTTGGGGTTCAAATAAAAAAAAAAAAAAAGACATTACAAACATTCAAGATCAAAATTTTAAGTGCCTCAAATATATGTGTAAATCTTTCTTTTAATCATGTGCAGTCACTTTTTTTAAGACATGTCTTTTTACTTCATTGGTTTTAGATGACTGCCAAACTCTCCCAGATAATTGTTATTTCATTTGTGAAGCTTTGTTAGTAAGTCGGAGTTTACAGGTTTGATTCAAAAGACCTTTACTTTTTCCATTCAGACTTGTTCTTGCTTGATCTTTCTTCAGCACTTACATCTGCTTTTAAAATCTCAGGACAGATTGTTCAGAATATTTAAAAGTACCAAAGAATGTCATCCCTGGCTTCTATGGGATAGACCTTAGAGCAACCTGGTCTAGTGGAAGTGTCCCTGCTGCAGAGTGTGCAAGCTGCGTGCTTTTAGCTTTCCTTTCTGCTTTGGGCATCTGCTGCCCGCAGTGAAAACAGTCGTGTGTTGCTTTGTAAGTGCTTAGGGCATCTCTTGACTCCGTGTGATGTAGGATTCTTCTGCTAGTTTTAGAGTTCCAATTATTGCCTTTATTCATGCTCTAAAAACAACAACACTTACAGGCTTGCCCCTGCAAGGATACTGGATGCTTGCAAGTGTGAGGAGGATGCAAAAAGAATAGTCACAAATTAATTAGCTGCTGACAAGTCTCAAGAATCTGAGCTCTATTCATGTATTAAAAAAAAAAAAAAAACTTACAAAAAATTAATTGAAATTAAGTGTAATTAATGTCTATTCCCTTTATATTACAAGTGAAATAGGACGCTTTTTAGTGATATTTAGTACCTCTTTGGTCAAAATCATTATCGTTCCTTTTTGTCTGAGGCGGTCTTAAGAATTTGCTGCTGTAGTCGGTCTTAAGAATCTGCTACTGTAGTCTTCATGGAGTCTGTAAATCGTTAAACAAATGAACAATTAATGGGTCATTGAATTTGCTCTAAAGGGGTCATCTCACACAATGGGCAATTGAAGCTTTCAATTTGTTCATTTATAATTCTGCATTGAATTGCCAATGGTCTTGCTCTTAATAGTATTATAAGTTGTCTGAAAAAAAACCCAGCACTACACAGGTGTTATGACACAAGTGTAAAAACAGCAGATTTGGCTTAATGCCACGTGAAATTTAATTTTAAATGCTCTTCAGCACCTTTTTTGTTTATCAATAGATATTTGTTCTCTTATTGCCTCCAAAATAGGCCAACAAGGAATCTGTGCAGTCTACTGCAGCACTTAAGAGCTTTTTAATAAGGTTGGCTATTACAGTAACCACAGTGTTTCAGTATTCTATATGTCACTCTGTAGTAAGTTAAACGCTTGGATAAAGTACTCAGGATGTTTTGGAATCAGCTCCGTATTGTTCTTTTGTAACAATATTGTAAATTGTGTTCAGTTTACAGCTGTGTTATGCAGCCTTTCGTTTAGTTTCTAATGTATCTCTAATCTGTTATTTTATCAGATATTTTACAGACCTTTTTATTCAGTACTTGTCTCCTTAACAGTTATCTAAAAAACATTGTCTGAAAAGTAAATAAATCTAACATTTAGAATAAGATAACGGTGTTGTACAATAGTGCTCAAGAGGAGGAAGAAGTGCATACCAATTTTAATCGATACTAACAAAGACTGGATAGCCATTTCTCCCTGGAGAGTCATTTTCATTGTAGCAGTATTATTTATTTCTGCAGAGGAAGGAAACAATCTCCAGTTGAAGTGTCTAATTTCACATTTTATTTCCCATGTAAATTTACCAATCAAGTCTGTTGCATTTAGGGGTGATGTTAAGCAGTGATTAGAAAAGTGAAATTTTGTTGGTTATGGGATGTACCACCAAAAGTGTAGCTGTACAGCTTTGGGGTTTTTTTAATGCTTGATTGCTGTCTGCTTAGGAGCAAATTCAATTACTAAGTTGTGGAAGTTTATGGCTTTAGAGTATCTCCAAACTGCAGTCCCAGTGCTGCTGCATCCCAGAATGCAAGGACCTCAGGACAAGGCTTCTGTTTCTCTTCCTATTGGATGCCAAAATAAAATAGGGAATGTCTGTCAGCAGAATTGTGTGGATTAACTGAAATCATTTGTCAAGGCATAGATAGAGTTGGTTTCCATGCTATTTTTTCTCTTAAAGGGCTGTGAAAATCATCTGCCACTAGGCATTTCACCATTCTTTTAAACACAGAATTCCATTTGCTCAAAACATTTGTTCTTTGAGAGTAAACCAGGTTGAATAAACTGTTCTATGTGTTTTTTCTTTCAGTATTGGAGAAAATAAACCTTTTGCCTACACATGGTGGAAACAAACAAATGCTCAAGAAAGAGACTTTCTCAAGCCATTTGTGGACTTCACCAAGCAGCTTTGGAAGAAAAAAGCTGCAGATTTAGGAATATGGAGAACTGAGAACTCAGAAGGTAGAGAAGCTTTTTGAATCTCTGTTCTTCACAGATTTAAAACCGACCAGTTTTTAAAGGAAAATGATTGTTTATACCATCCTTTGGGGCCTCAAAGGTCGAAGTAAGCAACTTCCTCTCAAGCCAAAGATAACTGGAAGAGTCTGGATTTGATGGGGAATTCTTGTACCTGTTAATATATTTTCTTATTTAAAATATAAGTACATTCAAAGTTACAGCAGTGAGGCTGCAGTTCCGTGGTGCAGTGAAACCCCCACAGAACTATGGCAATCTCCTTTCATCCCTTCCCACCAAATTTGGGTAAATTTTAAATGTAGCGTCTTATGATCCTTTATTTCCCACCTCGGGCAATGTTACCATTTAGAAAGGACAATCATTTCTTGCCTGCTTACAAAAATGTTTTCAAGTGTTGATAAGTTACCCAGCCATAGGCAGCCGATTAAATCATCACTAACAAGCTCAGCAACCAGAATGCACAGTGAGTGGTTCAGTATTTCACGCTTTTACTCTCAATGTTTTCTGTACAGTGATTATATATTCCTCACTGTAATAAAATCTTCGTTGTCGCAGTCTTGAGGTGTTCTGTTTTGTCTTTTTAATCTTACCTGCTGAGACATGGCATATTGGAGGATTATGTTTATAACTCTTGGCTTTTTTTGAGGATTTTCACTTCTCGGTTCGCTTGATGCTGAAAGAAGGCCACTTTTGAAATGACTTTTGTGCCACATGTTGAGTTCATAATGAATCTGTTTTGTATGATCAGCAATGTAATTAGCTCTTCATAAATGTGTGGCTCTCTTCAAAGGGTGCTCTTATACTCCTGTATTTTTCTTACATAACAATTTAAGCCAGGAAGAAATCCTTCCCAATTATAAAGATAAGAGGGACTGATTTGAATCTGAATCTAACTGATATTTGTGAGTGAATCTTGCTTTGTGCTCTTGCCCTTCTTTTCCCCTGTATGTGTCACTTAAGAACTGCATTACCCTAGTTACTAATAGTGTTTGTGTCAGCTGGGAACACCCAGTGCCACAGAGGAGCCACACTAGTACCTCTTACCTTTCTTTACCTGACTCTTCTTTGGAGAAGTAGTAATTACCATTTTGTTGCAGGTTTTCTTTTGGTCTTGCTTCATCTGGCACACTTATAAACTTCTCTACTGACTCTGTTTCGCATGAGCTCATTCTACATACAGTGCTTTGTGGTATCTTCCAGGTATAATTCTGAGAACCTGCACTTTTCAGACATTCAGAGAAAATTCTGAAAAAGGTTTTTTTGTTGTTTGTGGTTTTTTTTTTAAGGTGTATCCTATATGCTCCTGTTTTGAAGGTGTATCCTATATGCTCACACAACTTTTGATCTATATGAAGCAGCCACACTTTATTTGACTTGAATTCCTGTCTCTTAACCCCAGCCCTTTCAACTGCATATATTATATATCTATTTTTCTTGAAGAAAACTTTCTGTTCTTCCTGCTCCAGACTAATTGCCAATTGACCAGGCAGGCCAAGGTTTGTCTCCTCATTAAAACCCAGAAGACATCATTAGCTCAATCATACAGCACATTTCACTTTGCAGGGAGGTTTATAAAGTGTTAAATACTAATTTTTATGAACACATTACAAAATAATGCATGGTTGCTCAGTATGTTGTGTTTTAAAATTAATTAATGCTGGGCTATACCACAGCCTATTAAAAGTGTACAGTAAGTCAGTTATAAATATTACAATGTGAACCTGAGTGGAACCTGTGCACAGTAGGTAAGGTTTAGGAAGACCCTGACTTCACTGTAGATCACTGAACACTTCATAAATGGAGAACATCAGGCATAGAACATTCTTCTATATGTAAATAAATGTATACTTTATGCCTCATCTTCTAAATAGCAAGTATTGTTGAAAATTGTTCTTACAAGTCCACACATCAGTATGTCTTTTAGGGTTTTTTTTAATACTCATGTACACAATTCTGGGTTTTTTGGTAAAATTTGATGGCTCTTGGTGCCTCATGTGGTGTCATTTCTTTCAAGTAAAACACACAGGAAAGAAAAGGATAAAAACCTGAACAAGCTGAGGCATTAGGGGGAATAAGTTACTTTGTTTTAAATTAGAAGTTTTCTTTTTAGATATGTTAGTTTAAAGCTTTGACTTACTAAATTAAATATATGGAATAGGTTATCTGTCAAGGCTCAATATCTCTGTATAATACCATGAGTATATTATGTGTCTGTTGTCTCTAATAACTTCCAAATCCCTTGAATAGCTACTGCAAATTTTGTCTTCAGGAGTACAAGTCTTGAAGCTAGAATCCTTACATATTGGATATTAGAAAGAAGTTCTTTACAGAGAGAGTGATCAGGCATTGGAATGGCCTGCCCAGAGAGGTGGTGGATTCTCCGTCCCTGGAGGTTTTTAAGAGGAGGCTGGATGTGGCACTGAGTGCCATGATCTGGTAATCACAGTGGGGTTGGATCAAGGGTTGGACTTGATGATCTCAGAGGTCTCTTCCAACCCAGTTAATTCTATGATTCTATGATTCACAAAGGTAGATCCCTAGTCAGGGAAGGGTCTTCAGGGGAGTGTCAGACTGGAACTTCACCCTGCATATTTATTTGTGTATATTCATATGGGGTGGGTGCACACACAAACACAAAATTCTGGATGGGGTGAGGCTGTGAGCCCCGTCATGTGTATCAGAGCATGATGCAGTATTTGGAGGAAACCAGGCTGTATCAGTTGTGTCACGGAATAACTTTTCAAAAGTCATCCTGTTAAGTGTCTCCAGGAAGCATTGCAGAGAAAACAAAACAGAACAGTAATTTTGCCATGGGCTTGTTTTGCCCAGCAGTTGTATTTTACATAACTGGAGACAAAAAGTACAATAAATCTTGCTTGTGGGTGCTTTATTTGCCTTTCAGCATTCCTCTTGGCTTCATCATGATTTTATTCTGGAATCTCTGGTGGTTTTTCTTTGGGACTGAGGGTGGAAGAAGCAAAAGAAATCATTAATTTGTTTTTTCTTCCCTTCGTGTAGACTGTCACTGGTTGTTTTCAATTGCTGGTGCATCTGGAGCAGAAAGTACCACAGTCAGCTTTTCTTCTGGGGATGAAGAAACAATAATTGCCAAAGTAGAATTTTTGGGAGGATGGAGTAGGGGAGTGAGAAAGAGATGGATGGGGTCTTTGCTTTAATATAAAAGGCATGTATCCTTTTGGCAAGAAATGTCCCTGTCTTTATAGACAGTTACCTGGCTTTGTTGTTCTTGTGTGCAATCTGAAATAAAAAGCACTTTTGAAAGGCTTTAGAGGGGTAATGGCTTTGGGAAAGGGAAGAAGGAACAGAGAATGGCAATCCTAACACCTCCTCTCAGAGTGGGGATAGCAGAAAGAGAGGCAGTCTGAATGGCCTGTCTTTTGAACTCGGCAGAGGTTTTACTCACAAGACCCGGTGTCATCAGCAGAGGGTAAAATACTGTGCTTATTATGAAGTATCTGAAGCTCCTACATTTAAGGAGTCTTAAGGGAGTCATTGAAAACAGATTGCAGGTAGATTGTGTTAAAATAGATTTTTGTAACCTCTTCAGCTGATGTGATGATTCTTTGAAATAGTGAAGCTACTTGAAGTGTGATATTCGTGTCCTGACTTCCATGATTTAGATTGGGCCCTGCCAGGGGAAGGAATTTTCACTTTGGAGGATAAAATGCCCAACCTCACTTGCTTCCAAAGTACTGAGATGGTTCACCTGCATGGGTTCAAACCTGGAACAGCAAGAGCACTGCTTGGGGGGGAATTCATAGCTCATCTACACACAGGCATTAATCAGTTAAGCTGTGTGTGGGACTGTCCTTTCCAAAGGGGATTAAGCTAAACCTCAGGGAGTTACTTAAATTCCAAATAAAATCTCTCTACAATTAGAAGCTGTGCAAAACTTAACAGAGCCACTTTGAATTCCTTCCCTTGACAGAAAAGCATTTGTCCTAATTTTTTCCCTACTGCTTTTCATCAGTGGTGAGGGATCAGAGGATGGCAGTTTCACAGCCTCAGCCGAGGATCAGTGTTCGCAACCTGCAGTGCGCAGAAAGCCCCGTGAAGGTGTGGCTGAGCCAAGGAGGGGCTCTGGAATCTGTTCTTCTGTGGTAGAGCCATTCGGCTTGGCCTAGCCTGTGGTCCTCACAGTGACAGTCAGATAATACCACTTCCCTCCTCTGACTGGGTGCTTAGATACTGATTGGAGTATGTAATAGGTAAATCGTACAGATCCACATTCCTCAGTGTCAAACTGCTTTTTCTGTATGTGATCTCTGAAAGGAGAAGATAGTTTGCCACAGTTCTTTTTTTTTTTGCGGTGTGTCTTCTTTCACTGTGAATCAGATTGTAAAGTTAATTGTAGCCAAAGGCTTTCCTCTCTCATGTCTGTTTAATAAAACATCTCTTTCTGATTAGAGACTGAAAAACCCACATTACAAAAGAAAAATGGCTGCTTTTTAACTAAGTTTATTTTCTTTCACAGGCACATGAAAACAGTTTTCTAGCAGGGAAGAAGGGAGGTAATTAGGTATAATCGTTGCTTTTAACAAACCAATCACAAATTACTTCCCTTTGAACTTTAGGTGGAGTAGCTTAAGTTCCATGTCTACGTGTGTGTGTAGAGAGCTGTGTGGTGATGCATCTTACCTGTCTGGTGATGTAGTGCCTTGTGATGAGGCACTGTGTCCCCAGAGCGGGGATAGAGCTTTTTTTCTTTTCCATTAAATACTGGATTGGTTTTTTCCCCCACATCTGGGGGTGTCAGTTTGTACTCATTCAATGCAGTCAGCTACCTGTCACTTTTCTAATGCTGTATTTTCATCAGCTGACATACGAATGAGAGATTCTTGACAAAAGCCCAGCTGGTCTAGTAGCACTGTCTATTCCCTGAAGTAGGCAGCTTCCATTTCATCTTAAACTTGGAATTTTTCTCATCTGATGATGCAGTGACAGACTCAGGTGCTGAGTTTTCTGACCCAGTGGAGGTGAAGGGGAGATGGTTGATGCTGTGATGGTTGTCTGAGTCATGCACAAGCCTCAGGGGTGAGGACAGCAGCTTGCATGGCTTGAAGCTCTCTCTTTAAACAAGTGGTTCAGCTGAGGTCTCATCAGGTTCTGCCAAGGCTGCATTACACTGGAAGCTAATTCAGTTTCTTTTCCAGGGGAAATCACAGAAACAAACCTGGGGACAGTGAATGAGGTTTTCTTAAAAGTAAAGTACATGGCAGAGACCTGGCTATGATGAGAGCTGTACCCGCTGAAATCCAGAATATGGGAAAAAAAAATGTGGTTGTACAGTTCAGAGGTGTTTTGTGTAGTTAGTCCACAAAATTTAGTAAAACCTGTAGGTGGTATCATCTCAAGGATGTTGGGCCATATTGCACCTATCTTTTCCAAGCTGCAAACAAAATGCCAAGTAACAAGGTGCTGTGGCATCTTACTCTGCAGATGAGATGGCAGGCTTTAGCTCCTGTTCTGCTTCTAACTTGACAGATGCTGCTGTTGAAATGAGAACTGAGAGGCTCTGTGTTACAGTATCTGTGGCTTTC